CCCAAGTCACTTGGGTTGCTCCATGTACATAGGGCGCATTGGTGTACATGGTTCAAAGTAAATTACATCTGAAGTTTCTCTTATAGTTGCTACTTCCCTTTCTAAAAGGTTCTTGATGTCATGGAGTAAGTGCTTGGCTGCTAAATGAAGGCCTTAAGAGCAGCACAGGAGAAAAGCCCATTTCAAATACTCTGAGGGGAACCTCTGTGCAACAGGTTTATTAGGCATTTCTGGGCCCTGCCATGTGTGTATCCGTCATGCTGCAGCCCCAGAGAGGCAGGGCTTGAGGGGGAGTTGCCTTGTAGCCCTTGTGGGGAAAGTGGATTACATGAAATAGGGAAATGCGAGATGCACGTTCCTGTTATGGGAAGCAGAGCGGAGCTTTTCACGAAACACCTTGTGCATCTCGGGAAGCTGGAAGGTGCAAGCGCTTGAAACAGCTCTCTGGGAAGAAGGTCTCTGCATGGTTCCTTAGATTATATACGGGTTATACGTGCGTAACTCTTTCACTTCTGCCCAGAAATTCAGGCTCATTGCAAAGCTTTCCTAGTGGGGCTTTCTGTGGGAGAGAACCAGGCACTTAGTGTGTTGATACATCCTAGTACAAATGCTGCGTAGCATTTTGCTGACAGATACCAACCCACAATTAGGAGATTGTCCATAGCCCTCAGTCTGGACTGAGACTGAACACACTGCTATTTATTTTATCTGGGGAAGCAGAATGATTACCTACCTGCATATTTTTTTTTCCTCATGGTTTACAGCTAAAAATCAAGCAGATTTAGCTCATTAAGCAGTGGTTGAGTCCTTGCTCAGTTAAAAAAAATGCTTATTATTCGGGTCTTCTCCAACTGTAACCTTAAAAGTTTCTGCTTCGGAGGAAAGACTGTTGAGTAGATCGATAGCAAATGGATGGTGCTCCCTGACTTCTCCAACTGTAACCTTAAAAGTTTCACAGTTTCAACTGTGGGTTCAGCTCCGAAGCTGGCAGCCAAACAGGAACCTTGTTAGTACCCTGAACCTCTAGACGAGAAGAGCCCTACAGGCAGATCTGGGAGAAGACGCAGATACCATTTATGATCAGGTGACTTAAATTGCATGGCACCTAGTGTGGGCTGAGAACAGGCCCCATCTGCAGTTTTCTCAAGGAGAAATGTGTTTTTGAGGTAGAAGAATGGTCATGCTTGGCTTTCTCTGCCAGGGAAGCAGTGAGTTTCCGTTCAGGCTGTGTCTGTGGGCATAGCACAGGAGGTAGGGCTTCACTTGGTAGGTTTTGCAAGTGCCCTGTCACTTGCAGTTCAAGCAGGGGTTTGAACTTGTTTTTCATGGTGAATTAACTCCTTCAGGAGTGCTGTGATTAGTAACAGGTCACAGATCGGAGCCTGCTGGGTCCCTGGGCCTGCCAGTGCCTTGGTTAAACTGCAGTGCTAGATTTTATTCAGCATAGGAAAATGACAGAAAGGGACTCTTGTACCTGATTGCTGCTCAATTATGTTTTGCTGTGACTTACTCAGGGTATTTTGGGATGAAACTAGGTTGATTTATTTGTTTTTATGTAATTGCCTCTCCGGTCCATTATGTTGCCTCTGCTTCCCAGTGTATTTTATAGAAGTTTTCATGACCTCATGACTTCCAGTTAGAGACTCCCCAAACCCAGCAAGCTGGCAGAGAAATTCCTGACAGTACATCTAAAAGCTGAGAATAGAAGCTCTCCGTGCACACAGCAGGAGTTAGCTAATGCGAGTTGAAGCCGCGTGTTGCAACGCTGGCCAGGAAAGGGCTTAGTCTGAACGGTCTAACTGTTTTTATCCCTTTGACTTTTCTACAGCAAGGAGCGTGCTGCTGCTGCTGGTTCAGGGACAGCTGGCCTTACGGGTGGACACCACCGGGAAGCATGGACCACAAAAGGGCCCTCGTATGAAGACCTGTACACCCAGAACGTTGTCATCAGCATGGAAGACCAAGAGGATCTTAATCGGTCTGCCAGCGAAGGAAAGCCAGCCAGAGAGAGGCCCATTTGGCTGCGGGAGAGCACGGTGCAAGGGGCTTATGACCCTGATGACATCAAAGATGGTAAGAAAGTTCAGAGAAATGGTGCTTCTCTGCCTATGTGATGCTCTTGGAGTGCATGGAAAAATGTAAGCCCCTGTGTATGTACAGCTGCCACTTCTGAGCCTCCAGATTTTAGCTGTTTCCGTCTGCCATGCAGATACCTGTGTGTAGGTAGATGTAAAAAAAAATCCTGCTTTGTTAGATCAAGTATTGAAATCTAGGTCACTAAAGCTGAGCTGCCCGCTGAAGTACGTACGTGCTTCTGTGCTGTTAATTATCTGTTACTTTGTAGCTTCAGTAATACACATTCTTCTGCCTTCAGAGTCAGTTGGTTTTGGATGAGGGTATTCCAGCCTCATCTGGAAAGCTGACTGCCAGTGTGACACGAATGGAAAATAACATTTGGATTCTATTTGGTGACTCTGAAGCACACCGAATTGCTATCAGCAGTGTTTTTGCATTCCCAACCTCCTCCTTGCCATTTATTTTTCAAAATGTTTTGTATGAAGAAGAGTATGTCAGGAGCATTGCTTCTGGGAGTATGGTAGGAGAATCTGTCACCATGGCAGGTGAGTCATTATTGCTTTCCATTTGTTTCTCCCCATTTTTGCTTTTATTTTCATTCATATTGGGTCAAATTGTCCATAGACCACAGCCAAGATGCCAGCAGAAAAACTGTACTTTGAAAAGTTTGCTGTTTAGAGATCTCTTAGCATTTTTATGAGGGTGAATCATTAGAATCTTTCAAGTCACCTGAGAATTACAGAATGAAACTGATGATGTCCTGGGAAAATGGCAAAATGGAGGCATGAAAATGAACATGACACACTTGAATCACTCCTTTCCTAGCGCGATCCTCAAGAGAAGAGACAGTGGAGTAATGTAGGTGTGAGGGAAGAAAAGAAAATGGATGCAAAGTAACAGGAGATGTCTAATGATCCTGTTTGTATATAGCTCCTTTAAAACAAATGGATCCCAGAATATTTTCCAAATAGATTGAATAAACTGAGGTGATGGAAAGCACCTCCTCCTGCAGTCTGTTGCAGATGTTGTTGTTACTCAGCAGCCTAATTTCTCATCTAGTTTTTCTGCTAGACATTTGATTTGCCTATATTTTTAAACCGGCTCCTTGAGATGCATTTTAGTTTACACAGCATAAATGTTTCTCAAATGCCACCAGAGGACTTGGAAGGGGAGAACATCCTCTGTTTACAGCACAGCAGCATTGCTGCTTTATCTCCGTAACTGCTCGAGATCATAGGGGGAACTTATGGGCATAGCCTGAAGCTGCTCTTGGAACATATCTACAGGGCTCTTGGACAGCGTAAGCATGAAGGAAGAAAACTTGGGGTCATTGGCAGAAAAATGTTCACTGCCTAGGTCTGTCAGGAACAGCTTTTCTAGAGGAGGCACAAAGCCTCAGAGCACTAACCCTGGTTGCTTCACAGCTCTCAGTGGAGTAGTCTGCGATGTTAGTACCTGCAGGGGCTGGCATCAGCCCACGAACAGCAAAACCTGACCACCCTCCTTGGCTGCATCCGCTGCCGGAGGAGGGAGTTTGGCTCAATGTTGCTCAGTTTGAATGTGTTCAGTCATTCTGACATTTTTATGAAGAACCCAAGAGACCAGCCTGCACACCTCCGTGAGGTTAGTTGTCTGAAGAGAGAATTGCAAAATTACTTGCTCTCATTTTCAGCTGTCAAGAAGATTGTTTCTTCCTATTACGTTGCCATGTGGATCCATGTAGTTATGATATCTGAGTCTGACCAGAGTAATGAAGCCATAAATCATGGACACAGATCCAGTATTCTCGGTCTTGTTGCAACTACTTCAGCTTCTGTAGTCTTATTTCCAGATGGTATGCCACGCTCATATGCCAAGTTTTTGATGGGACTGGCCTTAATCTGACGAGGGCTGCATCTTCTTTCACCAAGAAAGAACATTTGAAGAGCAAATTTCTATAAACACCAAGAAAACTGTCAGAAAATAGTAAAATGTGAAGGGAGAGAACAGCGGATTTTCCTCAGAGCAGAGACAAGATAGGAACATAATCACACAAGAAAGCCTCTCAGCTGCGGAGAAGTTAAAGCATCGTTTTGTGCAACACCGTCTGTTCTGATCTTGCTTTTCCCTTATATTAAACACACAGTGTGCCACATCCCACAGCCAGACACACTCTGAATGGACACTTAGCCCGTAGACTTGGGGACTACAAGGAAGGGAAGGACTACTTGGGAAAGGAACATCTGCACGTGCTGCTTGTTGGCTGCTCCAGTCTATACCTTTGTAGTTGCCCATGGAAACTCCTTTGCCATGAAAACATGAGTCTAGTAAAGTCAGCGTGGGTCTTCTAACTTTCATTAAACCATAGAAAAAGACCATCAAACCCAACCAAAATCTCAGCTGGCTTTCAGGACTAAATGCAGAACTTATTTCCTTAGTTTAACTGTTTCTCGGCATGTTTTTTTCTAAAAAAAAGTAGCAAGTGCATTTTTGACCCTCTGGGGAAAGACTTGGATGTAAAGCTCCTAGACATGGTGATAAAACCATGAGGGTCTTGGTCTCGGAAAGAGAGCCAGTGGCGTTAATGTGTGAGGGCAGAATGCCGTCGCCTCGGCTCCAGTGACTGTTTATATGCAGAGGCTTTTGGTGCAAGAGAGAATTTGCCATGGGGAATCTGTCCTACTTTTTACCCCTTGTTTTTACAGAAGATTCTCTATATTCCATGTTTGCTTCTTGTTTGTTTTTCATAATGCCTGTGGGTTTATTAGTGTTGAGTGGACTTAGTGTTGGGTGGACTTACATCATTCAGTAAATGTAGCACTTGGAGAGATCTTCTGTAGAAAGCCACATCTTGAATGGCATTTCATCTTTCAAATCCATGAACTGCAGACATCCTGCTTACCCAAACCATGTCAAGCACTCCCAGGTTTTGTACAGCCAAGCTTACCCACGCAGGAACGCAGACCTTGTGTCAGTCAGTCCACTGGGAAGCCACAGTCACCTTCAAGTGAGAGCTCCTGGCAGGAGACCAGGTGGACCAACCTCACCTCTGGCTGGGCCGCATTTCAGCGTGGAGGACGTGGTTTTGACACAGCCCTTCCGCACCGTGCGGTGCAGTTTAGCCCCAGGCGTCATTTGCTTCCCAAGATGGTTCTTGCTAGCACCATACTCCTGTAATGAGCTTTTCTCCTTTCCTTCTGGTAGCTGCAGCTCTGAGGTTCTGAGACACTGCTCCTTTGGGTGTTGGTTTATATGTGCATGTTGTTTCCTTATGCTCCCTGTCTGCCTGGTTCCATCTACTTCTCTGTCTTAGTCCTTGCAGACAGGGGCTTTGCAGGGCAGGGCCTGTTTTTAGTTCTGTGCTTGTAGTCAGTGCCCGGAACAGCCCAGGGCCTTCATGATCGTGGAAGGTGCTCCAGACTGCAGATGGACAACCTAGAACCAAAGGACCCAAGAGGAAACTGCTTGTGCATGTTCACCTTCAGAACTGTCCTTCTGGATCCCTAGCAAGTGTTGTCATTAGGTGCACAGTTCAGGCATTTGAAAGGACAGCTTTCAGCTCCACAGTCATGAGAGAGCTTCAGCCCAGCTTTGGGACACCTCAGTTTGACACCTGTGAGTCTGCAGGGCTGGTATCCTGATCCCTGATAAGAAACTATTATTCCTTTGTGTCTCTTTGCAGGTGGCCGGGATCTGGATACGTTTCAGGAGCGTGAGGAGGGCCGAGCAGCTCTAGATGACAACGAGGAGGTGATGCGAGCCCTGCTCATTCACGAGAAGAAGACGCCCTCTGCTTCCACAGTCGCCGTCGGAAGCGCGGCTCCTCTCACCGGTGCCAATGCCAGTGACTCCGAGAGCGAGACAAGCGAGTCAGAAGAGGAGTCCCCTCCCCGCCCTGCCGCCACGGCCACCGCGACGTACGGGCTGGAGGATGATGACGAAGATGAGGAGTTTGAGGTGGTGGCAGAGGACCCCACTGTCATGGTGGCCGGGCATCCACATTCGTACAGCCAAGTGAGCCAGCGCCCTGAGCTGGTGGCCCAGATGACTCCGGAGGAGAAGGAGGTTTATATTGCCATGGGGCGGCGCATGTTTGAGGACATGTTCGATTAACTGCTTCCAGCCACAGCATTTTTTAAAACATTATTTTTTAAGCCAGAAACTCCCTAGTGAAACAGGACTGAAGTGAATCTTTTCTCCCCTGCCCACGGGGACACCGGGGCTTGGACCTCCTGATCTCAGGCATCTTGCCCACCAAAGAGGGGCATCAGGAAGGCTGCATGTGCCGAAACAGGTAGGAGAGGTCAAGTCTCAGAAGTGAGGAAATTTGTGAGGTAAAACTCTGCTTTAGTGTGCCCTGCACAGGCACTGGGTTAAACCAGTGCCTCCCCACAGTTGTTCTGGGTCTTTTTTTGTTGCAGATGCTAAGAAATGCCACATCTTTGTCTTCAGAGGATGCGAGTGCTCCTTGGTCCCATCAAAGCGCTGTGGAGTAGAGGGTCTAAGTTCCATTGCAGCTGCCCGGGCTGTACAGGGACGAGGAGCTGGTGTGCTCGGGCAGGCCTTGTCTGCAGGCCTGGCCACAAACAGCTCATGCCCAACCTCCTGCCAGTGACGACCTGCCACAGGACTTGGTATTTCTAAGCAGCTCTGTGGGCAGCAACCCATATTATCTTTATTGCTCCTGTCCTCTCCTTTCTAGGTCTTTTACAGAGGGAAGTTACAGTCACAGCCAGGTCTGACCCTGCAGCGTGTCCTGGCCATGTTCTGTCTGCACTGGTTTCCCAGGTAGTTAAGCCTCCACAGGGAGGATGACTGGAGATGTTACTTATGTCTTAACTGCAATGGCACCACTGGCTGAAACGTTGCAGAGCGGGGTTGATCAGGAATCAGAGCTCTGGGCCACCACTCCTTAGTGCTGGCTCTAAGAGCGGTCAGTTTGCAACCTGTGTATTGCAGCCTCAGTGTTTCAGAGCTCAGGTATTCCACTCCTCAACTTGAAAAGACAATTATTTCCTGCCTCTGTCAGCTCCGTCCGTTACGCACAAGCCTGTGTAACTGTAGGGGCCTCCTAGAGGAGCACCTAGAGCATGGCTTGCTTCTTCAGAGATGTTGAACGTGACTCTCCTGCATTTCAGTAGGAAATGCTCAGCACCTCAAGGCAGAGGTATGCAAAAGCACCCAGAGTGAAAGCCCTGCTAGGTACATGCAGTCACTCTTTACCGCTCTTTGTGAGAAAGCCCTCCATGGATCCAAGCTGTCGGAGCACTCTGGCTACCAGGGGATCCCGTCGTTTCCAACTACAGCAGCCTGTCACTTCTCCCTAGCTGTGTCCAGCCTGCGGTGCTGCAGACACTGGGTGCAGCCAAGCAGGAGCAGAAGCACAGCTAATTCTTACCTTCAGTCCCAATAGGGTTGTACTGTTTTTAAATGAATTGCAGTTTTAAATTCTGCTTTGGCACATTCTCTTCCCACAGGAAAACATTGACCAATGCCTACAGAGCAATATCATATTTGTAATGTTTTCTCTCTCAACAAGTGTTTTTGTTTTTTTTTCTTATCCAGTGCTACAGTAAAACAAAATGATAAAAGACTTGTATGTTGCAGAGGGTAGGGCTAGTATCAAGTGCAGTTTGATTTACATGAACGGGGGGATTTCCTGCTCACTGAGACTCTAAATCTGTTTTATACTGACAAGGCTTTGTATGTTCTGCTAACCTTATAATGTCTCCTTTGTGGTTTCATTTTCAGCTTCCTGGTATTTTGAAGCCCCCCCCCCTTTTTTTTAAAAAATAGTGTTTTAAATTTGCTTTTAAGTCATTTTAAAGAGGAATAAATAAACTGAAACTTGCTTTTAAGTCATTTTAAAGAGGAATAAATAAACTGAAACTTCTCTCTTGCCTGCTTCCAGTCTGTCATGTGTTTAGTTGAAAGTGTGGTTTGCTTACCACTTTGATTTACTTAATTCAAGAAAATGACTGTTCTCAGACCCTCCTTTGAGGAAGGGACTATGTGAAATCCCACCTTCAATCACTACCCTGCATTGTTTCTCCTCAGCAGGGCTTCCCTGAATGACTCCTGGAATCCTCCACACACCTTTCCAGCAAGGATATTTCATTAAGCTGGTGCTGTGAGAGCCTCTTTCGTCAGCACTCCCAGTCCTTTCCTTTATCCCAGAGGGAAGTGTGTGCTGATTACAGAGGTCTCACACTCATGTTTTTTGCCAGTTAAAATGGTATTATTACATAGCTTGGCTTCCATCATCTTAAGTTACAATTTAATAATTGTCTGATATAAAAGAGGGACTTTACCAAGTCTGTAAGAGAATTTAATCTGGTTGAATTCAAGGTTAATGTTGAAGAAATGCAGGTAGGTACAAGGAGCCAAAGAATGAAACTGAGAACTGATCCTGAAGACAGTGCAGCTGTTCAAGCTTGTGCCTTACCTTCGGTTCATGTCGAGGGTTTAATCTGCACAATCAAACTGTAGGCTTGCCTGCAGCTTGTGTGTCTTGCTAAAAGAGTCTTTTGCATGAATGTTCAGCATAATCAGCTATACATAAATAAATACTTTTATGTGTGGTTTGTATAGTAGGTCTAGTTTTTGTCATTCCCAAGGTATGTCCTGCACATACTGGTGGGGTGTTTTTTTGGGCATGCTTTCCATCTCTCCTCTGCCACGTATCTCCCTCAGGAACACTGCGAAAGTCAGGATACTCAAGGAGATGCAGTCGTAATTTCTTGTCTTTTTAACAGCTTCTGGCTCTTGGGCAGGAGCTCTGCTCTATTCCAGCCAGTCAGGACGGTGCCAAGGACAGATCCTCGCATTTACTGCCCTGCCATGACATGCACTGCAGGAACGAGCCGGGGGAAGCAAGATCCCTGCTGCTGGGCACTTCCTTGTTGCTCTTTAACTGAAGCAGGGCTCTGCGCACGTGCAGCGCCCGCGGCTGTGAGCAGAGCCCGGACAAGCGGCGGTTGCCAGCAGCCTGATGCTCCTGCACGGGATGGAGCCCATCAGTCGTGAGGAAGGCCCCGCCATTTCCTCTGGCCGCTGAGCTACGTGCTCTGCTAATTTCAATCAAATGAGCCTGGGAGGATGGGCCAGCTCTGCAGCCTTCCTGTGCAAATGTCTCGTCCAGCCCCATCCGAACCAGTTTCTTTGTCTGCTTTCAGCCTAGTGTGCAGGTTTCAGCCTAGTGTGCAGGATGAGAGAACCTGAGACCAGGCCACTGCAGTTCAAAGAGAAAAAAGGAATGCTTTTCCGAAGCGCTCGTACTTCTGTCGCCAGAGGCCCTGGGCACCGGGTGCATCTCCCAGCCCTGTGGGAGCCGCCTCCTGCTGCACCGGGGCTGCAGAAGCTACGGAGCAGCCCAGGGGCTGCGGCCCTTGTGGGTCGGGGAAGCCAGGACAGAGGCGGTGCTGTCTCCACACAGAACAGGCCAGACCAGATGGGTGAAGGTGCTGGCGAAGGGGAGCATCAGGCTCCGTGCTGGAAAATGGGCCTGGTCTGATCTCCACAAGGCTCCTAAGGAGCAGCTCCTGCCAGCAGGGAGTCTGTCCATTCCATTCTTCTTTCCTGTCTCGCTGCTCCCTGCAAACAGACTCGGGTTAAACAGGCTGCTTCTCTGCGAGAGCCAAGGGGATTGAAGATCCCCCCCCGAAGAAGGGTGGGAAACCGGCATCCGCTGCTCCCGGAGACACACGAGGAGGCGCCGCTCCCTGCGGTGACAGGGCCTGGCAGGGGGCAGCAGGCACCTGGGGCTCCGGCCCCCACCAGCCTCTTCTGGAGGAGCCTGAGGCAGTTTCAGGGATCAGGTAGGAAATTAAGCTGTCATGGAAACGGATGCTTTGATATTTCCATTTGAGCATGGAGAGCCCAAGGTCTGTGAGCACCGCAGCCCACTCCCGCTGAAAACGTGTGAACTGTCAAGATGGCCTCTGCTCTGGGAATGCTGAGGCCGAGCTGAAGAGCAGCTACGCTCTGCTGAGCTCCTTCCAGGGCAATGGGCGGTATTCATAAAAGCCCGAGCAGATCCTCATTCGTGTGGCCTTCACAGGAGGCATAGGCAGATGCTTGAGGCGGTTTGGGACACGATCGTGGCTGTGTCGCAGGGTGTCACTGAGAGACCGCTGGCTAAAAGGAGCATCAGCCCAAAGCGCAGGGCACCATGCTTGAGTAGCGGTGCTCCCAAAGCGCCACTTCCTGCTTGCTCCCTCCTTCCCTCTTCTCCTGCTGGCAGAGAGCAGGGCCAACACGGACCACGGCCCCGGTGCTCTGTACCGCACAGCTATTTTGGGTCTCCTTCAAAGGTACCACGGAAATCTGGGTGGTGAGGTTTTTTTTCTTTCTTTCCTGTTCGGGATGCTTAATGAGCTGCCAGGAGGTAGCTTGTTATTTATTGGCATTAATTAAATTGATGGAGAGACTGAACCTTATTTATAATAATAATAATGAAAAAAAACAGATTTTGGAAGCTCTTTCTGTATCATTAAAAAATGTATTAAGGACAGTGAGTGTTTGTGCAACCATCCTAGAGACAGCAGACAGGGAGTCTCTGAATAAGATACTTTAAATATAATAGATATTTTTGTTCAAAATATGTTTTTGACCTAAATACAATTTGATTTCCATCCCTTTGAACAGCCTGAGCCTAATGAATCAGCCCGAGATGTCAGGGAAATGGCCGAGCCAGCCGTGGCGGTTCCATGCGGGCTGCGCCGGGTGCTCTGGAGACCTGAGCATCACTTCCGCCACACGCCGCGCTGGGGACGTGGACACTGCCCAGGGCCACGCACGGCAGCGGCGGGAAACCTCTGCCTGCAGCTGGAGGAGTGTGCGGGGCTCCAGCCCTGACGTGAAGGCTGCTCAGACGCTGCTCCACCGGCTTCCATGCCTGGGTACAGAAAGGTACCACTGGCCAAAGGGGAAGGGGAAGCGTGTCACACAGATGTGGTTACATCATACGGACATATGGCTTCTGTTTATTTTTTCACCTGGAAACCATATTGCCAGCATCTTCCAGCCCGATTATTTGCTGTAGGAAGAAGGATGAGTGGTGGTAGCTTTGCAGTGAGTGGGTAGAGCTGAGAAGTCTGGCTCAGATCCACCTAGTAAACTGAATCTCCTATCCGACAACATTTTTTTTCTGCACTTCTGACAGTGGACACCTGCCTGATTGGTCCCCAAATTTCCCAGACACTGTTAGCATCCCTGCTTCCTGCAGCCAAGAAGGCACTGGCTTCAGCCCCAAGGTGATCTGTCCCTTACGCTCCACTTTTGTCTATTCCTGAAGCAAATATGGTTTGGTAGGACTGGATTTGATCTTTTTTTTTCCCTTGTTCTTTTTGTCCTTTTGAAATATTTTGAGTTGCTGATTTTTCACGATATT